ACCTTCTCTTGTTCTCTGGTCATTTTTTTTTATGCTCTTTGATTTTGTTACATTATTTAATTTAAAAGAGATTTTATTTCATCTGTCATATTTCACTTAATATTTAAAATCCCATAAAAATTGGAGGTATCCAATATCCTTCACTAAATTTTCACTTTTAGGTGTGCGTTTACCTCATGAACTCTTTTGAAATAGACGAATGTGAAAAAAATTCTAGTTTCTCACAATCACAAACTTTCCAAATCAAATCTGTATTTCTCTGTGAAAACACAAACACCTGTGTGCAGTTTTAGGATAAAGATTAAACAACACAGTTTATGTGATATGTTTATTTATTCTCACAATCACAAACTTTCCAAATCAAATCTGTATTTCTCTGTGAAAACACAAACACCTGTATGCAGTTTTAGGATAAAGATTAAACAACACAGTTTATGTGATATGTTTATTTATTTTTAAAATTTTATTATAAATTGACAAATTATAATTGTATATATTTGTGGGGTACAATGTGATTTTTTTGTTATATGTATACAGTATGGAATGATTTTATCAAGTTTATTAACATATCCATCACTTCAAATACTTATTTTTTATGGTGAGAACACTTGAAATCTACTCTTTCAGAAAATTTGAACAATGCAATATACTATTATTAACTATGGCCTCCATTATATAAAATATTTTTAATATATAAAGTACCATGCAAATAGAAAGTATTTTTATTCAGAAGAAAGCAAGAATGTGAAAGAAAGAAGGGATTAAATAATGGGTTCTGAGTCCCCATCAAAATCCCCCAGGAAGCTTATTAAGAAATATTAATGCCTGTGCTTCACCTTAAAAGATTCTAATTTAATTGGTTTGGTATTTAAAAAAAAATTTTCAGGTGATTTAAATGTCCAATTGGGGTAGAGAGCCACTGGATCAAATGTTCTTTTTGGTGATAAGTTTTACTGTAATCAGTAGATACCAGTGATCAGTAGATACCTTGACCAGTAGAGCCAGTGCCATTGTAGAATACTGGATCAGGAGTCCTTAATCCTTGGATAAACTGCAAATGGGCAGTATTCTGTAACAGGGCTGTAGGTTATCATATGTCTATAGCATTTTTTATTTTGTCACATTCAAGTGTTAATCTTTTTTCTGTTTCTAGACAGTCAGTAAGTTCAGGTTGAGAAGGAGTGAAGCTTAGGACAAATGCTTAGGAGTGTTTTCAGTGTGCACATCAGGGAATGGAGGTGAACCTAACAAGGTCATGAAGAAAGATGCTTGATAATGGAAGCCAAGCAGGTGAGCTCCAATAGCAGTGGATCCACAGGTGAGGACAGGGAGGAGGCCCTGAAGTTTGGCAGATTGGCAGACAGCGATGAGGGTAGATGTGGCTGAATGCTTGGACTCTTCGTTACAAAAGCCCACTTTTTGCAACGCAGGTTAAGTTGATTACTTTCCATTTCAGTGAATTTTTTTGTGCGTCTCTGTATTTTGCCATGTTTTGATTTCCTTGGAAACTTGATTCCAAAGTCGATACAGTAATTCTTACTCACTTTATAACTACACATAATAAGCAATTTTAGTTAACACTTAAATTGTACATTTACTTTGTGCTAGGCATAATAAGTATGTATTTTTTGCATTATTTTTTCATCATTAATTTTCAAAGTAATCCTGTGAGATGGCCACTCTCAGTATGCCGATTTTACATGTGAAGAAGTGAGACTTAAAGTTGTTTAGTAACTTGCCCAAAGTCATATAGCTAGTTGGTAAAGCCAGACCTTTGACTCAAAACCAAAACTATTTGACATTCTAACTCAAATTCCTAACCACTTATGCATATCATCTCCATTTTATAGACTAGCCTGACCTATAAATATAACATTTAGAGATAAACATTTAATGATAACTTAAATGTACTTAAATATAACATTTGTGTACATAATTTTTTATTTTTATGGATTGCTTTAAATGTAAAATATACTTACTTTTTGGTATGGTTGTGATGTAGACCAATCATGTGCATTTTTTGTGTGTAGGAATCCATTAGAGGACACACTGGTTAAAAATTAAACATAAAAGGTAAATAAAAATAAATTTTATGTTCATATGTTTAAGTTGTTTAAAGCAACAGTACAATCCATTTTTTTTTTGATTTTACAGAAATTGCATCTATGTAATCAGAGCGAAGACCACATGCCATCTCAAGATTATGTCCTTACGTATAACTATGAAGGAAGAGGATCTCCAGCTGGTTCTGTAGGCTGTTGCAGTGAAAGACAGGAGGAAGACGAACTTGACTTTTTAAATAATTTGGAACCCAAATTTGTTACATTAGCAGAAGAATGTACAAAGAGATGATGTCACAATTAGGTCTTTGCCAGACATTGTGGAGGGTTCCAAAAATGATATTGTAAAGTTCAATTTCAATTTATATATATATTAGTTACTAAAATTAGTTATGCATAATTAATTTTTCTAATTTCGAATTATGCTACTCACCAATTTGTATTTTTAAAACAATTTGTTGTTTATCTTTTCCAAGAAATGCAACGTGTTAAAATTGAAAATTAGAAAATCTCATGGTGTAGCATTGGAATTAAGGTCTATGAAGGACCTGCTTGCTCTTCTTTGCAAACATTATTCTTGTTGAGTAAATATTAGTCCAACAATAGCTAAGCTATGCTAACATCACATTATTACATACTCACTTCAAGTGATAGTTTAAAAATAGACAATAAGTAGTAATATTATTATTTGAAGATAAAAATAGACAAGAAATATTACTATCACTGTTTGAAGAAAGTTTTGGGAGGGAAACAGTCTAAATTAAATTAAAAAATTTTGCAGCTCATAAGTAATTGGGACCAGCCCTCCCCCTCCCAATCCTCACAAATTCTTCATTTGACTGTGGAGGCAAAATTTGTTGAGCTCGCCCACGGAGTGGCAATTTTCTATAGGAATATAGTTGAAATGAATGTGTGTGTGTGTGTGTGTGTGTGTGTGTGTGTATAAAATCATTAATCAGTGCAACATTTAAAATGAAATGAAAACAAAGGAAAAAATGGTAATCACTTCAAATGAGGCTGGAGTGTGGTTTGTCCTACAGTAGGAAGACAGGGTTTAAAAAAGAGAGAGCTTCTTAAGAACTGCCCAACTGAGCATATCAGGAAATAGTTCATGTCCATTTGTGTAATTTATTTAAAATTGTAAACAAATTAAAGTTTTCTGGTTTCAGGGGGAAAAAAAGAGGGAACCAGGTGGAATAGTAGATGTACTTTGCAGACTATTTAAAGATTTTTGTAACTATAAATTAGGATCCTAATGGGGAAAACTCACTACAGCTAGAGCCCCCTTTCTGGTGGCAAGTTCCAGAGATGAGGCGTTTTTCTTGGCAGTTAATACAGATGGTTTCTGACTTAAGAAGTTCCAACCGAGGATTGTTTGACTTTACAATGGTGCAAAGTGATAAACATTCAGTAGAAACCACACTTTGGGTACCCATCTAACCATTCTGTTTTTACTTTCAGGACTGTTTTCAACAAATTACATGAGATATCCACACTTTATTATAAATTAAGCTTTGTGTTAGGTGATTCAGCCCAACTGTAGGCTAATGTAAGTATTCAAAGCACATTTGAGGGAGGCTAGGCTAAGCTATGGTGTTCAGTAGGTTAGGTGTATTAAATGCATTTTCAACTTATGTTATTTTCAACTTATAATGGGCGTATTGGGATGTAACTCCATTGTAAGTCTAGGAGCATCTGTACTGAAATATTTTTTACCCTCTCTCTGATGAAATTAAATCCTTTATCACCATTGTCTTTCTCCTACCTACTAACATCTTTTCTGTGTAGAGCCAAATAACCATGTTCTCTCAGTCAGAGCTTAAAAGGAGCTGGGGGCAAATCCTACTGAAAGCACTAGTGGGGAGTGACTGTCCTCAAATTCAGGCACACAAACCATCACCACTTACACTGCATTCTCATTAGTACCTGGGAACTATGAAAGTCCATGTCCCGGTTCACTGACCTGTTTTAGAGTTGCATTGCTGTGATTCAAGGAAAGCCAGGCCTCATTAGCTTAAAAGGAGCTGGGGGCAAATCCTACTGAAAGCACTAGTGGGGAGTGACTGTCCTCAAATTCAGGCACACAAACCATCACCACTTACACTGCGTTCTCATTAGTACCTGGGAACTATGAAAGTCCATGTCCCAGTTCACTGACCTGTTTTAGAGTTGCATTGCTGTGATTCAAGGAAAGCCAGGCCTCACCGGTCCCCTCTCTCCAACACTGTCCACACTACCTCCAGCAGAGATTCAACTTGGTGTCAAATACTCCAGATTTTCAGTCATCCTTCAGTATGAATAAATTTTTATCAGTTTGCTTTCTTACAAAACATTTTAAAATAATAGAAGAAATAGGAATTTCAAATGCTTAAAAGAAAAAGACCTAGTTGTTCTTTTGGAACACGGGGGACTTTGAGAGAAGCAAGCCCAGGGGAGGTATTTTCACAAAGAACAACACAAGGACCAGGTCTGTAAGGGCCAGGAGAGAGGCCAACAAGGGATGTGAATACAAGTCAGGGCAACATTGTCTCCTGCACATGTTTTTCTAGGCCTGGCTCTGCCTTTTCCTTCTTTTCTCAGGCCAGTGGCTGCTGCTTTTTGATTTTGATTGGGTTGTTGGGTTTTTTGCTGTTTAATTGTTTGAGTTCCTTTATATTTGGTGAAGTACCAGCCAACCCCTTCTCCATGCCTTACCTTCTGTGGAGTGTGGAATCCAGGAGAAGAGAGCTGAGTGCAGGGAGAGTCTGAAGGCTTTTCCAGGATGGGCCTGAACCAGTTGTGCAGAGCAAACAAAGCATTCCTAGGAAATGCTTTCTTCCTTCTGTAGCCCTCTGGGCACAAAGAAGATCTTCAGCTAAATATGTATGTAAAATTTGGATTCGATTCCACATTTTCTGTTTTCTAATTTGCCCCTGAAATCTAGATTTCTTAGACTTAGACTTTAAAAGGGTAATTCTCCTTTTAAAATCATCCTGTTTTAATGTAATCATTTTAACGTGTTGTATTATTCTTTCTTTATATGTGTAAGGTGAAAATTATGCTATTGCAGTGTGTAGTGTGCAAGAAAATGCCTTTTTAAAGCTTCCATTTTTTTTCCCAGGGAATAACTTTTTATTTTTATGTAAATGTACAGGTTGTCTTTTTTTTTTTTTTTCATAATAAGGAAGTGGTTAACTGTCTAAAATGCAGTGGGATTTGTTTTGGAAAGTTTTAAACAGAACTTTAATTTTGCTGTTAAAAGAAATTACTTTGCTTTTAAAGAAACTTGGCAGGTTAAAATAGGCAAAACTTGGATGTGTAAAGTAATATTTACAGATATAGGATATAATAAAACAATGTTATCTTGGTTTCTTGTCTTTGCTGTATATTTTTTCAATTTTAACATTTACTTGTACATATTTGTGGGGTACAGTGTGTTGTCTCAATACACACATATACTGCGCAAAGATTCACTTAGGGTAGATGGCATAGTTTTGTACCCATTAGTCCACCACTTCTCCTCCTTGCACCTCCTCCCCTCCTGGCTTCTGGTAACCGGTATTCTGCTCTCTATTTCTGTGAGAATCATTTTTTAAAATTTATTTAAGATTCCACATATGAGTGAGATCATGTCTTTCTGTGCCTGGCTTACTTAACATGATAGTTTCCAGTTCCATCCATATTAATGCAAATTATAGGTTATCATTTTCTTGAATAGCTGAATAGTATTCCATTGGCAATTGCTTTTACATTAACCCATGAGATGCAGAAATGTATATATACCACAGTTTTATTTATTTATTTATTTATTTATTTATTTATTTATTTATTTAACCCATTCACCCGTTGATGGACATTTAGGTTGATTCCATCTCTTAGCTATTGCTAAGTGCTGCAGTGAACATGGGAGTGCAGGTGTCTTTCTGATCTACTGATTTTATTTCCTAGTGGGATAGCTGGGTCATAGGGTAGATCTCTTTTTAGTTCTCTGAGGAATCTCCATACTGTTTTCCACAATGGATGTACCAATTTACACTCCCACCAACAATGTAGGAGAGCTCCTTTTTCTCTGCATCCTCACCAGCATTTGTTATTTTCCTTCTTGTTGATAATATCCATTCTAACTGGGGTAAGATGATATCTCATTGTGGCTTTAATTTGCATTTCCCTGATGATTAGTGATGTTGAGCGTTTTTTCAGTGCATGTTGGCCATTTGTATGTCTTCTTTTGAGAAATGCCTTTTCAGATCCTTTGCCCATTTTTTAATTGGGTTATTGGGTTTTTTTTTTTTTTTTGCTGTTTAATTGTTCGAGTTCCTTTATATTCTGGATATCAGCCCCTTCTCTAATGTGTAGTTTGCAAACACTTTCTCCCATTGTGTAGGTTGTCCCTTCACTTTGTTGATAGTGTCCCTTGCTGTTCAGAAGCTTTTAAGTTTGATATAGTCCCAATTATGTATTTTTGCTTTAGTTGCCTGTGCCTTTGTAGCTTCCCTCAAAAAAGTACTGCCCACTTCCATTTTGTGTAGTGTTTCCCCTATGTTTTCTTCTAGTGGTTTCATGGTTTGGGGTCTTAAATTTAGGTCTTGATCCATTTTGAGTTGATTTTTGTGTCTGGTGAAAGATAGGGGACTAGTTTTGGTCTTCAGCATGTAGATATCCAGTTTTCCCAGCACCATTTATTGAAGAGGCTAAGGCAATCTTGAACAAAACGAATGAAGTTGGAGGCATCACACCTCCTGACTTCAAAATATATTATAAATCTATAGAAATCAAAACTTGATACTGGAATAAAAACAGAGAAATTGACCAACAGAATAGAATAGAGAGCCCAGAAGTAAATTCACACATTTCTAGCCAACTGATTTTCAACAAAGGTGCCAAAAATATGCACTGGGGAAAAGCCTTTGCAGTATTCAGAGATTAAATGATTTCAAGATGATCATGTTGCAAAATTGTGCTTAAGGCTGGCATGGAAATAGAAATCTTTGATAATGTCTTTGTTATATTAGTGGGCAATATTTTAGAGAATGGGTTGTTATCAAATTTTTGACATCACTAACATACTATTGGGGAGAGATTGTTATTTTGGGGTACAGCTTTACAAGTGAGTGTCTGTGTGTGTATATATATTGAATTTAACTGGATATAAAATAGTACACTGATACAGGAGTTTTATTTTGAAGAGCAGTGCAATCAAAGGAAAACTTTGCAAGTTTAAAAAAGAAAAAAAAAAAAAAGCAGGTAATATTCCAACCCTGACTCTGCCATTTACAGAATAGATAATGTCTGAGCTTTGATAATGTGATCCAACCA